ACGGTATATTCCTCACTATGGGTAATGCGGGATCTACATCATCAACAGTACTATCAAGGGGATACTGGGGAGCCAAGACTAAGATTTCAGAGACATGGGTGTACCAAAATTGTTGCCCATGCACGCGCTGAACACTGAAGACTTCGACTCGCGGCTACCAAAAAGGAGCTTCCGGGTGCGGTGGTAACCCTAAGCCTCAAAACCTAAAGTCTTAAAACCGAAGCTCTAGGCCCTATCTCCTTATCTCTGCAATGAACACCTAAGCCCAAGGTTTGGGTTTAGGGTTTGGGGTTTAGGGCTTTGGGTTTAGGGAATAGCTTCCGCGGTTCAGGGCTCCGGGGTGCGGGTTAGGAGTGCCCGGGTCACGAGGTCTCGGGTTCAGAGTTTCGAGTTTGCAGATGGTTTGGGTTTAGGGTTTAGGGTTTCGGGTCTAGGGTTTAGGGTTTAGGGTCAGGGTTTAGATGTCCTTTCAGTACCGAGCTCTACAGCTATCCGGAGACGCGAATCGGATCATCTTAGCCTAAATACCGAAACCTCAAATCATGATGGCTTCAGGATTCAGGGTATGGGGTGTAGGGCGGAGGATTCCTAGCTGCCCGTACACCGACAGACATAGGACCTAAACCCCCAAACCTTAAACACTAAAGCCTAAGCCCCAGAACCTTAAACCCCAAAACCTTAAACACTAAAGCCTGAACCCAAAACCCTAAACACCAAAACCTTAAACACCAAAGCCTAAAGCCTGAACCCCCATAACCTTAAGCCCTAAAGAACAAGGTCCCTCGAAACGCCGGGGATCGGAAATAAAAACACACCTAGAGGATTGGAGCCTTTCTCGGTGCAGAATGTACCATCATTCCCATAGCTTAGGGTCCTTAAGGTCATCAAAGCCCAATAACGGTTTAGGAGGATTTAGGGTTTAGGGTTCAAGCCTGTGTAAAATGGTTTAGGATTTAGGGTTTAGGATATAGGATTTCGGATTTAGGGTTTAGGTTTTAGGAGGGCTTAGGATTACGGTTTACGGTCTAGGGTCAGGGACCACAAGGCCACATAAATGGACAGCTAAACCTGGAACGCTCGAGGCGGAAGCAGCGTCGAAGGATTCCGGGATACATTATGCACATTTGAACCGCTATTCAACAAAAGCTCAACAGTACTGACTTGGAATAAGAACAACAACGAATCTCCGTGTTAAAGCAGGATTCGTGTGTGTGTGTGTGTGTTGGAGAAGGTGCTTGTGTGTTTGTGTGGGAGCGGTCGAAGGTGTGCTGGCGCGGTCGGGAGAAACGCGCGCAGGTCCCAAAAGTCAGCGGCGGAAGACGTCCTCATGTCATAAGGGGTCTAGCGACCATAGAATCTCCATCAGTTCGTCAGGGTCTTTTTCCTACAAGCTATTCAATTCCTCTTCCCCTTATAGTGCTGTTGCTAGCATGCCGGGTGACACTTGCCCGGGTGCCCGAAGTGTATGACTGCACGGATTGAGGTTGCAGGCAAAGCGGCTGACAGCTTCCCGGCGGACCGGCTGCAGACGTTTCCGAAAATAAGGGGTGCCTCCTTTTGGGGTCCTTATCTTGAGGATCCTACTATTTAAGGCACTATGCCTAAACCCTAAACCCAATGGTCCCCTATTTTCGGAAACCCCCGTATAGCATGAACGCGTGCTTAGCCAGTCTGTGCTGAACTGACACACCAAACCGTAGAACCCTAAGACTGCCAATGCTGTATACTAGTTCCTAGTTAAATGCCGAAACCATGAAGTTCTGTCGTGTTTTGAGTCTCAGATTTTGGTTTTCGGGTTCAAGGCTTCAGAATTCCGAGCGTCAGGCATAGAAATGCGATAGGAAAACCTCAAGTCCTAACATGGCCGGATTTTCGAGCAAGCTCGCTGCTCAAAGTTGATGCTGCCCGCGCCTTTGTCGCCAGCACGGGGCCAGAATGCCGAGTTCTATAGACCCTGATACCAACACTAGACCTTATAAGCCCTAAACCCTAAACTCTAAACCTTAACCCTAAACCCCTAAACCCCTAAACCCTGAACCCCCAAACCCTAAACCCTAAACCCCTAAACCCTAAACCTGTGAAGAAGCAGCGCAGGATTGCAGAGCAGATGCGGGTCTGCCTAGGCGCCCGATCGGCCGTGCTTTTGGTCTACAGCACTTCGAGCAGAGGGCATTTTAGGCTTGAAGGGTAATTTAAGTAATGCTTCTCCTAAATCCTATAGTTATACACCCTAAACCCTAAACCCTCAAACTTAGTTGGAAGTGCCAGCAAGCAGACCTCTTTTCTCTGCAATGCGAGAGGGAAAAGACCCTCAACCCTAATTGTAACTTCGCCTACGAAAGCTCTGAGGGTTTTGGGGTTCAGGCTTGCCTTGCGGATGTCCTGTGGCAACGAATCGGCTTGCAAATAGCAAAGCCTTCCATATACGGCCTTAGCCATACGAGGGCATCGTTGGGGCTTCCTTGATACCAGGATTGCCTTCGGAAGGCGCTTCTATATCCCTAAACCCTAAATCCCAAACCCATGACGCAGTTGCAGTTTTTACAAATAGAGTTAAATAGTGGGGTCTTTGTTTTCTGAAGCTCGCACGTAGACATCGTAGACTTTCCAGCTCTTGGGGTCGCCAGGTGCTTAGACGACTTGGCAGCGCTGGGTCTACGCTTTGGCAGGGTGCTCGGTTTAAGGTAGGGGCCTCAACAATTGGAAGAGGGTTCTGGGACCCTTACTAGTGTAATTATAATAAAGAGGCCCCCAAAATAGTATAGGTAAGTGCTTGAGGCACCCAGATTAAGTCGCTTGGCGTGGCTGCTGGTATCGAGACTGCAGCGTTGAAAATGTGGCTTGTACTCAGATTAGATTGATCTCTGGCCTGTAAGATAGGTAGTATTATTCGGGGTACGCCTTAAAGGATACCCCTTCTGAACCCTACTTTTGGCTTTCTTAAAAAGGGACCTTATTCAGAGGGTCTATATCCCAAGGGTCCCCCTAATCCTAGCTCCCATAAGAGCCATCTCTTGACACTTAGACACATGAGTTTTCTGGCGCGAAAGCCCCTGGCGCTGTTTGCATTCCGTAATTAAGTTGTCGACCATGATTTTCTTAACGAGCAAAACTGTAATGGCAGTCAGCATGGCACCACTAAGCAGACAAATCAGAAAGGGGTTAGGGTTACCTTAAGGGCACGGGTCTTGATGTTACATTCCTTGTAACTAACATGGAGTCGAACAAGCGGGGGCCAGTATGGAAGTATGGACAGCTGTCGCTTCAACAAGGGCCCTAAACCCTAAACCCTAAACTCCATGTTAGAGGCGACCTTTGGCTTGACGTGGACGTGTTGGAATACACGGGCCTGTGTGGAAAACAACCTTCTAAATGGTAGGAGGCTTGATACACAGACCCCTGAAAAGTGGCCCGAAAACTAGGAACGTCCCTAAACCCTAAACCCTGGCCGAGGTGAAACCTTCCACTTGGCTCAGAGTTGCGGTGACTTCGCAGAAAGCGGGCTTTCTCGGCTGCTCTGAGACGCCTTTGGGCGTTGGGTTATAGGGTTCAGTCTGGAGTTTGGGTTTAGGGTTGAGTTTTGGGTTTAGGTTGCTAAGAACACCTTTGTCCTTCTGTTACGTTCGTTCCCCCACCTCCCAAACCCACCCGACAACTCAAGACCAGCTGCAAGATGGAGGCTAGGGTTGTGGTGACATCTTGAACTCGGGCTATCTGACTGCTCAGGACATTTGGGGAAGAGCCCAGAGACTCCACTCTCCACCACCCTTTCAACGATACCAGGGATCCATGAAAGGAGCCTTTAAGGCTTTGACTCAAGGGATCTTTAAGGTTTTCGGCTGAGGAATTTTAGTCTCCGGGCCGACTGGGTTTAGGAGTTAGGGTTTAGGGTTTAGGGTTTCGGTTTAGGCTTTAAGAACATCTGGAAATTTGGGCTTGGGGTATGTGGTGGGAGCCGATGAGCAGAGTGCCACAGCATGCCCTTGAACAACTCACCCCCAGTGTAATATGGGGACCTAAATAACTACTTTTAAAATTTTGGGGGGTTCCTTATTATAGGTATAGTATAATGGACCCCAACACCCTATTCTAACTATTAAGGCCTCTACACTACTGCTCAGAAATCAGCTCCGAGCTCCCAGTCTTGGCCACAGACGAGGTGACGAAAACCCGGTGCTGACGCTGCTGACGGAGCCGCAAAGGCAACGGCACGTGCGTTTCAAGCGGCCGGGGCCGGTGCAAAGCCCCTCACCGCCACCCGGTCTAGGGTTTAGGGTTTAGGGTATTTCACCTGGCACAAAAACTTTCCACAACCCTAAACCCTAAACCCGAAACAGGAAACCCTGAACCCAGTCCATTCTCTTGCATCGCACGTGCAGACTGCCGCCTGGCCGGATCCGCCAGCTTCTTCAGCACCAGGAAGCAGATGCACAGCCCGGTCTCCTGACGGCATCTTTGGCCTAGTGGTTTGTGTTACATGTAGTAGTTAGTAGTTCTCTAAATTAGGGTCCCTTTTTAAGTCCCCAATATCGTACTCTACCCTTACAAAAAGGACTCCCCAAAAGGACCCTCATTTAGAGAACTACCTACAAGTGAGTACCTAGACCCCCAAAAGTAGGTGAAATAATGGCCCAAAACCTATAAAGGGCTATTATTCTACATACTTTCAGGGTCTAGGTACTGATAGGGCTTATATTGCTCTGGGGTTTACAGGGCGGAGGGCGGACAGTTCTCTTGGGGCCAGAATCCCCAGACGCGGGGTGCTGCCCTGAGGCTTGGAAGAGTGTTGCTTCAAGTGGGTGGTTGTCAAAATTATGGTTCCTTTTTGGGGTCCTTATTATAGTACGGCACCTATTATTTAGGGTACCCCAAAACGGACCATAATTTCGACATCTACTCAAGTCTTGGATGTTTGGCGTGGGCATTTTGGCAGATTTCCACTTCCCGTGCCCGGGGGCTGACTCGGAAGGATCATGCAGTGGATAATCGAAGCTTGCAAGGAGCATTTGGCCCAATTGTTTCTGTGCTTCATTTTGCTGCCAGCTTTCTTCGTGCTCTAGATGTGCATCGCGAGTTCAGCCAAGTCAAGTGGTTTGTCCAGCGCCTGGCAGGTAAAGAGCACGTTGAACAAATCTCCCGCAAAGGTGTGTTTTGGCTCGACGACATGCTGTCGGACATGTATGTAACCTACAAATACTGGAAGCAGAAAATGCATGGCTTTGCCTTTCTGATGATATCCACCTGGCTTGGCAGTGGCTGCACCGCTTTTGGCCACCGGTACGTGAGCTGGGAACGCCGTAAGCATCGTTTGGACTACTGGGCCGCAGGCTTGAATGAGCGCGGGGAACCCCGGCCTGGCTTCACAACCTTCTTGCTGTACATTTCGCAGATCCAGCCAATGATCATGGCTTGGGAATCTTGGCAGCATGGTGGGATGGATCGGTTTTTACAGGAGGAAAAGATGCTGACAACGCTCACAGAGGGTGCGCCGTCGAGCTTGC